AAAAAAAAACTTTTATCATAACATTCACCGAGTGATTTGTAGGATAATGCACCTTTAAACATTTAACACTTTGTTAGCGAAGGGATTTCACCATTTTATATCATTACTTTACTAACTTATTTTTGTATGAATGATTCATTGTAATATATATATATATATATATATATATATATATATATATATATATATGTGTGTGTGTGTGTGTGTGTGTGTGTGTATTTTTATTCGAAAATTTTAAGATAAATGTTATAAAATCACTACAAATATACCCCTTTTGTTTCAGTACTTTCTGGTGTCTTATCAAGTGATGGTGTTGAATGTAGAATAAAGGGTTTTAAAAGGTTCAAATCAATCAAAAACCTCTCTCCCCTCTCTCTCTCTCTCTCTCTCTCTCTATATATATATATATATATATATATATGTATATATATATGTATATACATATATATATATATATATATATATATATGCGTTTGACAATCGGTGTTTCACTGGTTGGAACGTTTTTAATAAAACGGACAATGATAATGTGATTTTATATATATATATATATATATATGTGTGTGTGTGTGTGTGTGTGTGTGTGTGTGTGTGTGTGTGTGTGTGTGCGCGCGTGTGTGCATGTGTGTGTATGTGTGTGCAAGTTGAGGGTATAGATATAAGCAGTCTGTGGCTTTATTTTTCCGAAAGCGAATATATACGTTTCAACAATTAACTTCATATCACACACACACACACACACACACACAAAAAGCACCCCCACGCACTAAGAAATGTTTTAGATGTTTGTTTTTTTGGGTTTTTTTTATGGCTGCAGTGGTCTTAAAGGACACCACCTTTGCTGTAATCGATGCCCCAGTGTTCGAATTTCGTCTATTTCTGCTGATATACACTTTGCCTTTCTGCTCCTCCTCCTTTCGCCTTGTCCCATCGCCAGTTAACCTGACAAAATTTCCCGCCAATGTCATGCCATGTCGTTTTAAGCAAAACCTGTGTACAGGTGCAACCATGTCTGCTATAACGGCCTTATTTGTCTCGGCAGCAGCCGGAAAGATATAGTCATCCAACCATCTCCAAACTTAACCCGGGTCAATCAATACGTTTGTTTATTAATTTTGTTTGAAAGATGTCGACAAGGAATAAAAAAGATTGAAAATCATAACTTTTGTAAAATAATTAGATCGATGAGATCAATAACAAGAATATCGATGTCTATGTAATATATACTAATTAACTAAGTTTTACTCAGTATCATAATTTGAACTAATAAGGATCACCGAACACTCTCAAGGCCATTTAAAATGGGATCCGAAATCTCTCTCTTAGTAAGTGATTCTCAGTCGCTGTGCCGTGGCACAGAAATGTGTCGCGAAATATTTTCACAGCATACATATGTGTGTGTGTAAGTATTAATGGTACAGTGTTAGTATTTGAATATACTTATGAATTAGTATTATGCTATTTGATCCAGCTTAGCTAAAATGGCCTTATCAGTTTTATTACAATTTTTTACTTTTTATTATGTGAATTAGGCTTCTCAATCCTAAATAGCGTCAAAAAAATAAAAAGTGAGAAAGACTACGCTCAAATGAAGAAGAAATAAAGGTCTGCTTATCGCGCATTCGACCAAACATTGAAGAAATCACACTAAATAAGCTGCACAAATAGTTGAACAGAAACATTGAAATAAAATAAGTTCATATTTGTGTGTTTATTTTTTAAAATATCTATGGTTTTATTTCATAACATTTAAAAATTTTGCTAAGTGGGCCATAATATTCTCATTTGCTCCTAGGTGTGCCGTTGCTTAAAACGGTTCGGAAATACTGATCTAAGCCCCTGTATATTTACATATAAATCTGAAAAGTATTGTCGTTATTGGGCATTTTTCTTTTGGAAAAAATTCAAGTACCTTTAAAAATACGTTAAATTCAATAATTTTTGCGCATCTTGGGTGTCACTGACTAGTATTGTATAGACACACACATACTTACACACACACACAGAGACACACTCATATATATATATATATATATATATATATATATATATATATATATGTATGTGTGTGTGTGTGTGTGTGTCTGTGTCTGTGTGTCTGCGTCTGTGTGTACATATAAACGTTATTTCAGTCGATAGCCATATCTGAATATTTCAGTTATCACGTTATTTTTCTTTAATAAGTTTTCTCAAATAATCACTCCAGTTGACGAAATTAAATTAATCTGGTGTTTATAAATAAACGGGGCGTCTACTCAAATATGAGTGTCCATTCAAATAAAGTTTAAAATGATAAATTCTATCTAAAATCCATGAGTTCTTCTTTTTCATACATATATATATATATATATATATATATATATATATATAACAAATAAATATTGAAATTTAAAAGTATTTTAAGGAAAATAGATACGTATTCGGAAAATAAATCAAATTCACCAAGAAATCTCCTGAAGATAGGATGCACATCCTCGAAACTATGAATAGAGACAATCATAAGAGATAAAGTTTACTTCATTAAAGACACCCTCGCGCGTACACAGTCACACAGAGACGCATACACAGAGACGACACACACACACACACACACGTACATAAATATATGTATTGTTACCAACAAACAGACTGTTTCACTGTATCACAGTTCATCAGTGTGGCTAGACGTCCGGGTTGCCTCTAGCTAGGATCGAAACCCGACTGAATTGGCGTCAGTAATATATATATATCTATATATCTATCTATATATATATATATATATATATATATATATATAGACTATATATATATATATATATATATATATATATATATATAGTATATATATATATATATATATATATATATATGTGTGTATATATATATATATATATATATAGACTATATATATATATATATATATATATATATATATATATATATATAGTAGTATATGTATATGTATATATACTACAGTTCAATTTTGTTTTAAATTCGCTCTAAAAACTAGTTGTGCTTTTAGATAAGAGAAAATTATTATATATTGTTTAAAAAAGTGAGTTATAATTTTTATTATAATAAAAAGAAAAAAAAATTATGATCAAATTTTGCTCTCGTCAAAATGTCCGCCTTTAGCTTTGATTTCTGCAGCACACATTTTTGGCGTTTCTTTGCCAAGTTTGACAATTGATACCATTCTTTTTTCAATGACTTTTTTTTTCAACAGCTCTTTTTCATTTTTTTGATGGGACGAAGTCACTTTTCTGTCAAGTTCAGCCCTTGCTAATTTTGAGAGTGACTTCAAACCTTTGAACTGTAGTGTATGTATCCGTGTGTAAGCGTGTGTGATAAAAATATAGTTTTCAGGCATGGTATATTTATGATTAAAAGTGCTCAAGATCAGAGATAGAGCGTATGTAAATATAAACGTGGACTTTAAGGTCAACACCAATCGGTGACAGTCTGTTTCATGCTTAAACGCAATCTTTAAGACATTCTGGAGATAGTCACTGCCTTGTGTTGATCTCTGCGTCCGTATTTATATTTACACACACACACACATACACATACACACACAAATATATATATATATATATATATATATATATATATATATATATATATATATACGATCATTTTCATAATTTTAAAAAAATCTCGTACTGAAGGAAATTCTAGTAGAGTATAAAAATAAAAACTAAACAATAAAAAAAAACAAAAAAACAATTGTATATCCAACTCTTTTCATGAATTCCATCTCTTATAATTTGTTTGGAGTTTTTATTTTAAGTATTTTATCATTTTAACGGAATGGAAAACCTTGACCAACCAAAGAAAATAGACTTTTCATTATTTTTCAGTATTTTTGAAAATGTTCACAAAGCGAAACGCTGAAAAACATCCAACATCTCTCCCTCTCTATATATATATATATATATATATATATATATATATATATATATATATATGTATACATACAGGAACAAGCACAAACACAAACACACATGCACACTATATATATATATATATATATATATATATATATATATATATATATATAATACATACATACATACGTATCTGCGTGTGAGAGAGAGAGAGAGAGAGAGAGAATAACGATGTATAAAATTTATATATAATGAACAAGTGTTGGGGAAAGTTTGTTTCACCCCCCTATCTATCTATCTATCTATCTATCTATCTATCTATCTATCTATGTTTCCTATATATATATATATATATATATATATATATATATATATATATATATGAGATAACGATATTTTCATATATGAAGAAAAATACCGGGGAAAATGTATGACAAAGTGAAAAAAACTTTTCTTCTCACGCGTTTCCACATTTAGGACTTCAAACTAATTTTGTTATGCTGATACGACGAATCATGCACATGAACGAGAGACGTTGGAAATTTTAAATTATTTTTTTTAATATATATATATATATATGTATTATGTCTATAATCTATCCGATTTCATTCATATTCTTTTTGTTTCTGTTTTTGTTTCAATCACATTTGTTATTAAATATCCCACACTGGAATAATATAGAAGATCTGCCAAGTATGGTGAAATCTTGTAAAAACCAGGGCGCAAACTTAGTGTAGATGATCTCCCGATTAAAGCATTATCTACACATTTTCGTCTCAATGACTTGTTTACGCTTTTAATTAGAGTAACATTTTTTTTAGAGAAAAATGTGGACAGTCTTGTTATGGTGAGCAACTAATGTCTTTAAATGTGCTGTTTTGTATTCTTCAAGGCAATCATTATAAATTCCTCCTTCACGTGTTTGAGGCTATTGTTTTCCATTGGTTAATAATTTTAATTGGTACTGACTTTATTTTGTTCATATTTATTTATCGCTCGCTCTTTCTATCTATCTATCTATCTATCTATCTATCTATCTATCTATCTCATTCTGCTCATATCTATATATATACATAGCTCATTTGGTTCACATCCTTTTGTCTCACTCTATTCAAATCTATCTATCTATCTATCTATCTATCTATCTATCTATCTATCTATATATATATATATATATGTGTGTGTGTGTGTTTGTGTTTGCGTGTGTGTGTGTGTGCGTGTGTGTGTGTGTGTGCGTGGGTGTGTGTGTGTATTTAAGCAACAATCTTACTTTCATGCACATTTCATTGAATATGATAGACAAGGTGCTTTTATTTAGTTTTTTATATAATTTCTCATGCGATCTAATAATTTTTTTTCAGATGATAAATTATATAAAAACTGCCCGAATGTTCTTTTTATCCGAGCGCTTTCGGCTATACATTTAGCCATTTTCAAGGATTAAATATTTTAACTATTAAATAAGACATAGTTTCTTGTATGTATGTTTTAAAAAATGTTTTCATTTTTCAAAACACGGTCAAGATATTGTGTCCATGTTCATAGTTAATATTATTAAGTGTTATTTTTTTTATTATTATTAATAGGACTTCCATTATTTTTAGCCTTTTTTGCATGTGGATGATGCTATTATATTAGTGTTGTCAACAAGTATGTTACAAACAGTGTCTCCATGAATATATAAATGAGATCTAATTGAGCTTTGTTCAGAAAGGTGTAGAATGATTCTGCTTGTAAAACATCTTGTAGTGTGGCCTATATAATTATTTACGAATTTTGATTGATGAGGTATACAATTCCTTAATAGGCATATATATATATATACGTTTCTTCATATCCATCTGAAGACAATTGTATATGTATGTATGCTCGAACGCATATATATATATATATATATATATATACATACATATATATATATATATATATATATATATATATATATATATATATATATATATATGATATATATATATTTATGTATACGGAATAAATTCCAATAACTAATAATTACTATTTTTAAAAAAGTGCTCAATACAGAGTAGAGCAAATATAATTGTTGATTGGAAAATTATAACATAAATATGTTAAAAATCACTACAAAAACAGCCATTTTGTTTCAACATTTCTGGTGTCATATCAGGTGATGGTGTTGAATATAGAATAAAGGGTTTTAAAAGGTTCAAATATCCCTCGCTAGAGGAAACCCTGTTACATAAGCTGGAATATATATATATATATATATATATATATATATATATATATATATATATATATATATGTTCGAGCATACATACATACTCAGTTGTCTTCAGATAGATATGAAGAAACATATATATATGCTCATTAGTTATGTATCTATGCTTGAACGCATGCATATATATATATATATATATATATATATATATATATTTATTTATGAAAAAACTAGGTAATCCGTATGAGTAAACTTAAGGAGGATAAAATCCAGAGAGCTCAATGTAAATCCAGAGCAAATAATTTAAATAAAAACAGACGACTTTAAGGTTCCATGCAATAAATTATTTCACCACAGCCCTTTTAAAGGACTGCGGTTCATCAGACTTTACTTCCAAATATTTCTGACCATGAGATACGGGTTCGAATTTTACCACTGTTGATTTGTCAAGTGCAGGTGATATGTTTTTCAGACACTTTGCAAAGTGCCAGATCTTCATTGGCCAGTCAAATATCACATGCATTATAACCGTAGATAATTCTATATGTAAGTGTGTACAAATTCTAATTCTTCTATGCAAGTAGATGGTGACAATATGTATTCGTATGTGTGTATGTCTCGTAGGTGAAGGTCTGATGATTTTATTTTTCTGTTGTCTGTTTCTCATTGATCAGCAATTGATGTCCAGCTGTTGGTGTTATCCAGTGCTGATATGGCAATGTTTTTATGTACATACTGTCTGTATTAGATTGACAGAAGTTAGATTCATTAGGAATGGACTCAATAAACGACGGCGATTTAATATGAAGTTTTAGACCAGTGTTTATTAGTGATAATGATATTATTAATTTTTAAAAGTATTTTCTCTTTAAAGAATTGTGTTCTTTTTTTTTAATTAGGGTGGTGTTTGTAAACTCAAAATTATGCCCGTTTTTAAATGATTAATACTGGCATTTGAATTAGTGTTGAATTTCTTTTCTTCCTAATTATATTTCAGATTGTCTAGGAGATCGTGATAATTATCCTAGTTTTAAGGATAACTAATTTGTTTTCAGTTCTAATAGAAAGGGTGATGGAGGATAGGATTATGAATTTTGCGTTATTTTTTTTAGAAGTATTATTAGCATGTATATCTATATATGCTTCACACCATCTCCTATTATTTATATCCACACACACACACACACACACACACACACATATATATATATATATATATATATATATATATATATATATATATATCGATAGAGAGATACACTACATACATTTACACTGGACTAGATGTACATGTATGATATTAAAATACAGAAACACAGACACACACATATATATATATATGGATATGTAAAATAACAGCACACGTTTATATATAGGCGCACACACACTGTGTGTCTGTGTCTGTATAATGTTTGTACATATATGTGTATATATATA